GCGGGTAGCCATTGGAGGACGTTGTGATGTTTCTAAATTTTGACTTGGCTGGATGGGACTGGCTAGCCTGGCATAAGCGGTATGCTGCTGTTGGTGTCGGTGCTGGTGCTTGGTTCTTGATGCTTGGTGCTGATATCGGTGTACCGGCGTTGGCTGCGGTGTTGGCGTTGGTGTTGGATCAGATAGAAGGACAGGTGAGCGACGTGGAAGAAGACCTGAGAGGATCATGGCGGCATCGGGAGAAGGCTGGGAATAGCAACGTGGAAGGACAGACTTGGACCTTCTTCCACTCTAGTCTCTCAGGTCAGGCACGGAAGCTTACCTTACGTCAGGTAAAGTCCGGTCAGGTATGGCAACACACACTTTCTTTCCCTCTCACACACAAACTGTGGAGTGTACACTACACCATACACCCAGAAGACAAGGTCCAGGGACGGTATCGTCCATCAGGGCAGTTTGTGTACGTTGTTTCCTGATCTATCCGTCTGCAATCGATTGGTTGCACAAGGGCTTTCGGGATGCCGATGACGAGAACGAGGTGGGATGGCAGAAGGGAAAGAATAGATAGAATCTAGGTTCGAAACAAACGACTGAGGATGAGTTAGAGTGACAACCCATCAAGGATCATCAACATCGAAATCCAACGACACGAGTCCACGGATGCAGCGCGGCTGTCACCATCGCCGGATCGCAACGTGTGGACTGTGGAGGCAGTCGGAGTCGGAACCGGGAGAGACAGACTCGGAGAGAGAGAGAGAGAGGGAGAAAGACAGGGCTTGTTTTGTCGGGTCGACCAAGACACCGACCGATCCTCTCGGAGCTTTTTCTTTCCTCGTACACTTACAGGCATCCGGGCAGCCTAAACAGCCTCATCTTAATTGCTCTGACCAGTTGTCTGTTTCGACGTCCGGTCAGCATGGGGAGACACTGAGCAGGCTTGATGTGAAGCTGCCCAAGCTGGGTTCCCAGAGAGCGGGTTGTATGGCCTGGATGGTGCCATGTGGTTCTGCGCTGATTTCTGACCAAAGGTTCGTGGCCGTTAATGGAGGGGGCCATTCCAGGACCCAACCATGCACATGGGTTAGTTAAGGAGGACCCAGCAACACACCGGGGCTTGAGGAATGGTGTTGAAACGGAAGGGCGAATGAGCATCGAGAAGCCCGCTTCCTCCAGGCTGAGCTAAAGCAGAGCCACGATAAGCATAGGCAGGCTGGCTTCATGGTCACTGTAAGTTTAGAACGGTTGGTTTGTAAGTGACGGACAGCATGATCATCTTTTCCCCTCTCTTCCTCCATCTCCGCAACCTCCACAGAGGAAACATTTGAGGATAGACAACTGCCTAGTCGGCAAGCTGCAGGCGGGCTATTGGAAAGGAACGAAGGAAAAGAAACCATGGTGGGTGTAGGATTAGGTGCCCTGGCTGCTGTGCACCGTGATGTTACTGGGATTGTAATGGGCATCGGGATTGAGTGAGACCATCCTCTGTGCCTCTGTCCCTGTAGCTGCCCCATTCCATCGAGGTGCAGCACGGAAAAAGGTCAGACCCCGGCAGCAACGTGAAAAGATAGATCTCATGCAGATTCTAGTACGCAGGCACCTGGGCTGGGACGGGGGAGGGGAACTCTGGGAGAGAGGCTGGAGAGAGGGGGAGAGGAGGGGGAAGAGGAGAAGCAGGGCCTGCAAAAATGCAAAATGCAACGGTACAACGACCGTAGTGTACATACAGCACAGCACGCATCCTGCAGCGAAGCAATCCAGGATCCATCTCGAGTCTTGTTGGATGCCATCCTGCTGCTGCGGGTGATGCTCGGTCCGGAGATGGGAAGACTCGAATGCTTCTAATTTGGGCGATTGGTAGCATATTTTGAAACTCAATTGTGCAGACACAACCCATCTCTCTTACCTGACCAAGTTTTGACGGCGGAAACAAACGGCAACTGCTTATCCAGCCCAAGCCGGAATCCCGCGTTCTTTGCAACATTGAATCTTTGCAGCAGAGTCATGATCGGTTCCATCGTGAAGCCAAGGAACCTTACCACACTAACCTACGGTACACTAATTGTACCCACGACTACTACCTGCGGCAAGCAAGGTACCTGGGTATTCGCGAATCGTACTCCGTAGATACTACGAATACACGTGTAGGTGCCGAGGATGGAGGACACGGACGCAGCGGTTGCAGACCACTAAAACAAGCCTCATTTGTTCACAAACGGAAAGAAAAAGAAACAAAGAAGGCGGGACGCCCTTGCCGACTATGGTGCAAGTGCCAAGTCCACCGCGTCTAAAACGATCCAAGTCGTACCTCTAGGTAAGGTAAGAAGGATATATGGGCAGGCAATGCAAGGTAAGGTAAGCAAAGGGTAAGGTAGGGTTAGGTAAGGTAACCGCAAAGGTGAGGTTTACTACCTAGGTACCTTATGTACTCCGTAGCCCGGTGAAGTGAGGAGACCAGAAGGAGAAGGAAGGGGAGCGTTGAGCATGGGTACGTCCCGTTCCTTAGTCATGGGTACGTACTCGTCCATACTCTAAGTCTGAGATGCCCCACTCGCTCCCGTCTCGACGTCGACGTCTCCTCCATGCGGTACGTACCTTAGACAGTTAGGAAATTTTCCTGGTCTCCTCATCTCTTCCCGTCTTCCTCCGCCGCCAACCACCCTCGAATACAACGCCGAATGTCCTCACCTCGAGCCATCCAATCCATCAAGCGTCAATCAACTCACACATCAACGCCTGCTCACGTGTGGCAGTCATCGTTCCTAGCCAAGTCCACCACAGACCTCATTCGCAACCTTTCAGTCCCCATCGCCACCCGTCATCACTGACTGTATGTATTTTCGGACACCCAACGTCCGGTCCGTTACGGTACGACCAAGGACGGCCGTGCCAAAACCTGCGAACACGCACCTGTAGCACGCTACCTCAGGAAGGTCGTGGTGCTGCGTCTGTTCTTGAGCAAGAGCTAGACCACTTCCAAGTACAGACCAATTCATCCTAGCCACCTACCGCCCGCTAAGGTATTTCGAGGGCAAAGGTGAAGCTCGGTGGACAAGCCAGATGCCACTCGGCGCACAGTTCCCGACTGCGACTGCAACCCGACTCTACATGCCCTCGAGGGAAGTGCAATTGTGCAAGTGCAAGTCCAACCGCCTTGGCTTCTGCAACGCTCGCTCCAGTGCTCTCTACGAAGTACACGATCCCTACGTTGGCACTCAACTCTCAACGTCGGATACGGATGCGACTGTGATGGCATCTCAGACCTCAATCCACAGATCCCCTCTGCGGCCCTTCACTCGCTTCCATGCAAGCAATTTGTCCATCGCCCGGGGGGCCTTGTCGAAATCCCCACATCCTTGCAGCGCGTAGGCCTCATCACTGGCCACGCCTGTCGCAGGCTCGCAGCCATCTGACGAGACACAACATCAATGACAGCTCGTCCCGTGCTGCTTTTGCCCGTAATAGGTCCCACGCAGCCCCCCAGCCATCTCACCGGCTCTCTCTGCTATCTTGAGAATCTCTGGCTGCACATGCCCTGCGCTTGGCCTGCAATGCATTGGACTGGCATGCATGGCTCTGCTCATCGTCTGCGATGGCCCCTTTCTCAGCCCGTTGTCGTGCTACAGAACCTCAAAATCGGCGGGCATTGGTTGCGGGGCGGGCGCGGAGCCACAGCCATCTACTTCGTACTCCGTCGTGAACTATTCTGGAAACGAAGCCGGCCGAGAGCCAGGGCCGAGTTGGCATTCAGAACGAAACTTCGCACCAGAATTTTGTGACCGGTCATCTCTGGCGCCGGCCGCTTCGAACTTGGGACGCCCAGGTCACCGAAGCCCAGGTCCCCCACGTCTTGTACCCGAAGCGGTGAGCGAGTCAAGAAGCCCTGCTGGCTTGCCATCGCCACACCACGCCAGCCGACGACACTAGACGCCAGGCCAGTAAAACAGCACCACACTCGAGGTGTCGCCCGATAGTTGGGCCTAGAATCGGGATGCCCTGGGATGAGCATGGGATGGCGGTCATCACTGATAACTGTGGTGTGTATCATTCTCAGCAAACCGCGGCCGTTTCGCCGTACCGGCTCCATGGACGCCCGAATCATCCTTCCTTCAGCATTTCAGCTTCAGTCTGCCAACACCCCTTGGTATTATGGTAATGGCGTTTTCCACCCCAGCTCGATATGCAGTCTGCCATGGCCAGGCCGGGACAGTTGAGAGGCGTGAGAGGCAGCAGAAGGAAAAAAGAAAAACGAACACCACAACGCGGGGAAATCAGCACTACCCAGCGAGACACACCACAGTCCAATTAGACATGCCGTCTTCACTCAGAGGAGCTGCGCTGAAACGACCCGCTGTTCTTTCGTCGTGGTTGTCAGTGATTGGCCTGGCGTCATCGCTATCAAGGCCTCCTCATCGGGTCTCCTGCAAGGGCGACGCGGATTGAAGGCGGGCGTTGTTCACGCAGAAACTCGAACTTGGAATTGAGGAGCTCTAGTGCATATCGAGCCATGAATGATCCTGGCGTACTGCGGACGGCGGCTCGATTGAGTAACTATCCGCACCTAGCCACGTACTGTTATCTCCTCAGTCCCAGTTTCCCAGGCCCTTCCACGAAGTATCTGTGGATTCAACGGTTTACACGGCACTCTGGCGTGCCAGAGCGAACAGGAACTTGGGTCGGTGGCATCTTGTGGCGAATGAGTGACGAAACGTTAACAATCGGCATTTGCATCACCTTCTTTTGAAGTGTTATTCTTTGGAATGATATTGCTTAATCCCCATTTGGCAATAATTGTCCGCTACTAGCTATTTTCGAGATGATACCTGGCCGTATCTGCGAGCCTTCAGTGACAGAGCCTGCCTCAATGGGCCAGAACTTCGGCGACAGGGCTCATTTCTGGTCTGATATTGGACGTCGCACTTGGCGGCAAACATCCAAGCCGGTTTCTGCGATACCTCCATCAACAGGACATACAGTTTGCAATCATTTCCACGCTTCCAAATGTACAAGAGCCTGAAGACGTCAAGCAGCGTGGAAGAAAATACGACACAGTCCTCGGAGGCTACCCGTTGAGACTCGGAGTATTTTCCGTTCAGGAAAACGACAATGATCCAGATGGAGCTAGCTTGTTTGTCTTGAGCTGTTCGAGAGTCGAGACGGACCAGGGCCGATCCGTCTTTGATCACCAGGATCCTGCTGTACGAAGGACAAGCAAGCAAGGGAGCCCAGGAACAACCTCGTTTACCGCTTTAATGGATTTCAAGACAGGTGAAAGGCGCGCTTTTATTTTATTTCTTTCAATCCCCAGCTTTACGAAGATTCTAGCGATCGCGTATCTCGCGGATACAGAGCCAGAGCTAAAGCCGTTCCTGTCCGAGACACCAGAGGATGGTGCTGGGCGGCAGAGGCGCTCACAGATCAAAGTGCATCATTCTTGGCCAGGTCTCTACAAGGCTTTCTTCTTCTCCATCCTCACCGATGATTTCTCATTGTCTCATCACACCAGTCTTGTCTCTCGGGCTATTGTACTCAGCACACTTGTATCCGAATTTTCTTACCATTTCCCACCCTCGTTACCCCTGGTACCTTGCATACCGAGACGCAGCCCGCACTGACTGGCACACAGACCTCGAGGCCATGACCATGATCCGTCTCCACTGCGTCCTCCCGCAGGTTGGATGGAGTAGAGGGATTGGCTGACTTTGCGCCGTTGGCCGTTGGCGTTGCGGTTTTTTCTTCTTCGTCTGTTCCTTCTCTCGACGTCCCCCTTGCGATAAGTGGGCGCTCGCGATGTTGACGAGCCCGGGAGAAACAAGCCCACTCTTTGACACCGGACTATCATACATTAGCACACACACATACAACTGAAGATGGAGGGCCAGGTGATGATATTCATCAAGCCATGCACTGTCAGGAGAGAAGCCACCACTCTGAATGGGGTAGAGAGGTGCGTCGCATGCAAAGTGCCCCGCAAACGCCACACTAGCAGATAAGTCACCAGTGTGATGGGTGGGTAGTCATTCCTATCCTCTCCAATTCGAGCCGCCCGGCGGCAACAGGGTGGTGTCGACGCTGATGCAACGATTCAATGGATACCTACTTGCACTTTGAGCCCTGGGGTTCTTGAGGTGGCGCTCCGATGTCCTTTACCAAGAGGAGCATTACAAACCCGTCAAAAGCAGACCCGTTGGGTACGGTGAATGGCACTGAGCTATGATCGTCAGGCAGTCAAGGTCATTGCTGGAACAAGACTAATTGTATCTTGGGACCTTCGGCCGAAACTATTCAAAGTCTAGCGTTCCTGGTGTTCGCGGGCCATGCCGCTTATACTTCAGCTTGAACTTCACCGCTTGCCTAGCGCGCGTCACGCAGTTGCCGCCGTTGATGGCCCTCAGTTCGCTAAGACCGCATCCTGATGACTGCAGGATTAGAGGAGCTTCTAGTGGCATTTTCTACCCCTCCTGCGTTCAGCGGGACATCGAATCCGAGGCCCATTCCGCGCCGAGTTATCGCAGTCCGTCAAACCCGACGATACGTTCCAGTTCTGCAGGTCGAACTGATTTCAGCGTGGTTCATTCGTTTGACAGCGGGATATTTTCAACCCGACCCAGGCCAAGTCTGGACTCCATCAGAACAAGTTTCGAATACATTCAACGTCAGTGGCCTCCTTCGAGCCTGGTGTTACCTCGCCCACACCAGCCAAGGAATCTACCCCTCCTCCCGCGACAAAGTAGTTAACAACCCCGTCAGCCTTTTTATCGATAAACCACAAACGCCATCAAAAACCGCCCCTCTTTGATGACCCTCTCGTGCCCCTCTTCGTTGTCAGGTTTCATCCGGACACTCTCGCAGTGATCGAGGAACGCGCAGGCTAGTGAAGAAACAGGCATTATGCCTTCTTAGTTGCCGTGTGTCACACATGGAATGCCAGCCTTTTCCGCCCGAGCCCTGTGAAATCTCCATGTCCAGTATGCCGAGAAAATCGGTACGGATGATGTCAAGCCGCGCTTTCATGTCGAGGGAAACAGACTGGTCGAGACCACGATGCTGGAGGGCGGCATGCCGATGCTGCCCAAAGGGTGCCCGAATATCTCTTGCGGTTTTCCAGGGCAGCCTACTGCGCACGAGGGCCCAACGGTCCAGGCATATGAATGATGGACTTTTGGGTGGTTATCCAGGCCAAACCCAGGCATGTCGGCTGCCGCCAGACGGATACGTGACAACTGTCACTGCAGACAAAAGGCCGTTGCGCTGTTATCCTCTTCCACGTCTTTCATCAGCCAAGCGCCAAGCGCCAACCACCGTCCATCAATGGCCGAGAAGCTCTCTCAGCAAACCGTCACGTCAGGCCTCATCCATGCTTGGATCGACGCTGCTTGACTTGATCAGCCTCTGCCCTGTGGGGTTCCAAGATCCGTAGCGGTCGCTCGCCGCGCTGGAGTATGGAGTACCCTTGAACCATCAGAACCTGGAGCTTTCGGGTCCACAGCCACGCCGTATAGGCTGAAGGATTTGGAGACTCGGAGGCCGGCGGCTGTTAGTTTGTCGACTGATCCTCGTCAATATGAGGAGTTCTTGACGCCATCTTCAAACCGCACTAACAACTGGCCCGCTACTCGATACCAGCACTAGGCTACCAACAACCGCACCAGCTCCAGAACCTGCCAGGTACCAGGAACAGCGCCTTGGAGCCCGTCTTTAGCGGACTTTGTGGCCATCGGCTGACCACTTTGCGGCTTGGAGGGTGGATAACCCAACAATGATGGTGTGCAGGAACACCAATTCACCGCTCTTTCACCGGGGCGCGATTCGTCGTCGTCGTCTCTAACTTCATCTTATTTGCTTTCTCCCTGCGTTAGTTCTCCCCTCACCTGGTCGTCATCGTGGTCCGGCCCTGCTAGGAAGGGGAGATGCTGCAGAGTTACTGCAAGGGACCGGACATATCTTGGTTTTACTGTCCGACGGATCGCTTCGCCTAATGCTACTGACCCGTCACGAGTTTGACGACACAAGACCGGGCGTGCCGAGATACCAATAATTTGGCCGCGGATAATAGATGATTCTAAAAGGCTTCGGTTTGCTGTGTTGCAGTTTAGACCAGCGCTGTGACCCTCTTGACCCCTCTTCCGGCGCAACACAATGACTTGCAGCAATACAGGCCTTGCAGGAGGCGCAATGCATCTACAGATATGCGTTCTCTAGTCAAGCTCAGATTCCATCGAGCCTCATTTTGAGATCTGCATGACGCAGGGAAATGATTGGGGATCCAGATATCATCGTCTATTCCTGCCAGGGCTCACAACGCGATTGAGAAACACGTGTGGGTTCAGCAAAACCTCCCCCAAACCCTATTTTCGGCGCCGTGTTAGTTCTAAGACGATCTGCTCGGGAAATAACCAGGATATCCCTGTAGCATAGGCCTCGTGGAATACCTACCGAACGCGTCCATCAAAGACAATGATGAGGTGACAAACCATTCTTCCCATCGCCGACGCCATTAACGGGTAACTCTGTCTCAACTCTATAGAGTCTAGAAACACGCATCACTGTTCACCGCTTCTTTTTCCAGTGTTCGACGACGGCTCGATCTTGAATACGAACCCCCGGGCTGGGTCTCATTGATCGCAAAAGGCACGTGCAGCAACGGCACTTGCAACGGCGCAACTCACGGACTCTCGCCTTTCTGTGATTGTTCTCTTGAGTTCGATTATCACGGGCCGTCCGCGTGGTCGACGATGATTGTCCCGAGGCCATCGCCGGCGTGGCGGCAGATCCGGCGTTTCCGATCTGTCCACGTGCCTTGGAGAGTGAACGACTGTTCTCTTTCAGCCTTCGGTCCACGATGCTTCCAAGCGGTGACAGTACGCCTGCCAGTTGCCATTCCCAAGTCACCGCACGATGATATGTGCTCAAGCGCTCGAAGGCTAGCTATTCAACTTACATAATTGAACGGCACATACTATTTTCGTCTCGGTGCTTTTATCATCCTCCAACGGCCGGAAGCTCAGCCAGCTAGTATGCGCACAGCGATCGACTGGTCAATGCTTGCCGCCCTGCAACGTCCTTCACCGCCGGTGAGAGACCTGGTTGCAGCTTGTCTCAAACGAAAAAAAATATATGCCAGTCATGTCTCTTTCCATCTGGATCTGATAGAACTCCCGTGTCCTGCGGGCTGGGGGGAGTAGGCGCTCGGGGAGGCGGCCGATCTAACGTGGGCGGGTTCTACATGTGAGATGTAATGTCTCAGGCGCACTTCTGCAGCAGGCATCTGGGCTCAAGAGTTTGTCTGACTCGGCAAAAATGTCTGGCAGTACGGATGCCTCGTGCTCTTGTGCCGATGAATCATCTTGCCCGTCGCTGACTCGGAAAGGGATGATCACGGCGGTTGCTAATCAAGCCTCTCTCTTCTTTGCTGATGATGAACAACGATGCAACTGGAAGGCCAAGGACCATGTAGACCGCAGCAAGCCAATCGTGTGTTTTAATAAGCACAAACGAACATGACGGTAAGATTGTTCTCATTTGACTGTCCGCACACAAGGGCTAAATAATTGTATTCGCTGGCCTTTCGTCCGCATGTTTCCGGGTGCCACGCTGTCAAGCAGCTATGTGTGCTTGTCTCCGAGGAGGATGCTGGCACATGCCCTCCATCGGTGGTCTCGAGTGTAAGTATTTCCCTCGACACAAGCAGAGACTGTACGTGATTCCGCTGCTCAGTGCTCGGCTGCAGATGATGTCCTGTCTTAGAAGAGGGTGCCTTCGGGTCGTTGAGACCCCGGCCGACACGTAAAGGGTTGAGAAGACGCAAGATCCTTCCAATTCATGTCGGCCGGATGCCAATATGTGGTTCCTCGTCGATTGTGCTTAATCATCGAACATTTCGATGCGGAAGAAACCCAAAATTCGATCTGTATACATAGATGGCCCTTGAGCAGACTTTAGCCAAGTCTTCAGATGAGGCTATGAAGTAACTGCCCAAGCAGGATTATCCTCGAGAATCCAATCGCTTCCTTGAGGACCCCAGATGAGGCTTCGTTTTTTTTTCTTGGCACGGCAACTAGAATATGGCATCGCGGATCTCCGCGAATTCTTCACCCCTGGATCGCTGTCGAGCGTATGTCAGAGTCAAGTCCGGCTTTTTCTGAGGCCCATCGGTGATTAGAGGAGAGTAGTCAGTGAGGCCAAAGTACCGGTTGATGCCTGTAGGAAACGAGCTCAGCTTAGACTACTGACCTTGTATTAAGCTAATGGTCACAAGCAAGAGCTTCAGCTCCTGGCCTTTGAATTCTTGTCAAGACTGAAGAGATTCTACTTCGGATTACAGTGGTCCGATCCATGGAGGGTATAGTAAGATCAATATCATTGTCACAACGACGCCCGCAATGATCGGGCTTCAGAAACCATAAGGAAATATCTTCTATAGGCTGAGTACCAAACGGGTGAGAGCATGCTTGTCCATGCCACGGTGTAAGACGCCTCCGGGAGACCTCTGGCTAGATTTACCTTCATCCAAAACAAGAACCTACGATATACGACAAGCTTAAGGCTGCATGACGGATGGCTTAGACTCCGCCTCAACCAGCCAGCCATTGTCATCTGAAAAAAAAAACCTTTG